TGGGCCCGGGCTGTATTTGAACCTGCCACCTTAGGTGTATGTAGCTGGCGCCTTAGCCACTTGAGCCACAGGTGCCGAGCCCATTTTATTTATTGAGATAGTCTCACTTTGTCACCTTTGGTAGAGTGCTGTAGCATCATAGCTCACAGCAACCTCAAACTCTTGTGCTCAAGTGATCCACTTGTCTCAGTCTCAGGTGTATGTGGCTGGTGCCTTAGTAACTGGGACTATAGGCGTCCGCCACAATGCCTGGCTATTTTTTAAAGACAAGGGTCTCTGTCTGGTTCAGGCTGGTCTCAAACTAATGAGCTCAGGCAATCTACTTGCCTTGGCTTCCCAGAGTGCTGGGATTACAGGTGTGAGCCACTATACCTAGCCAGATGCACATTTTAAAATGTGTTGAGCGTGTCTCGGTGTCTGTAGCTCAGTGGCTAGGGCACCAGCCACATACACCGGAGCTGGCAAGTTCAAACCCAGCCCAGGCCTGCCAAACAACAACTACATCCAAAAAAAAAAAAAAGCCAGGCTTTGTGGCGGGTGCCTGTAGTCCCAGCTACTTGGGAGGCTGAGGCAAGAGAATCGCTTAAGCCCAAGAGTCTGAGATTGCTGTGAGCTGTGATGCTACTATATTCTATGTAAGGCGACATAGACTCTGTCTCAAAGAAATTATAAAATAAAATAAAATGTGTTGTGTGGCCAGGCACAGTGGCTCATGCCTGTAATCCCAGTACTCTGGGAGGCTGAGGTGGGTGGGTAGCTTGAGTTCATGGGTTCAAAACCAGTCTGAGCAAAAAGTGAGACCCCAATCTCTACTAAAAATGGAAATATTGAGGCAAGAGGATCATGTGAGCCCAAGAGTTGGATGTTGACATGAGCTACGATGCCACAGCATTCTGCCCAGGGGTACAGCTTGAGACCCTGTCTCAAAAAATAAATAAATAAATAAATAAAATAGGCTCAGCACCTGTAGCTCAGCTGCCAGGATGCCAGCGACATACATTGGGGCTGGCAGGTTCAAAACCCAGCCCCAGCCTGCCAAACAACAATGACAACTACAACCAAAAAATACCCGGGCATTGTAGGTGCCTGTAGTCCCAACTACTTGGGAAGCTGAGGCAAGACGATTGCTTAAGCCCAAGAATTTGAGGTTACTGTGAGCTGTGACACCATGGTACTCTACCAAGGGTGACATAATGAGACTGTCTCTAAAAAATAAATAAAATAAATATGTGTTGTGGGGTTGGCGCCCATACCACAGTGGTTACATCGCCAGCCACATGCACCAAGGTTGGCAGGTTTGAACCACCCAGGACCAGCTAAATAACAATGACAAATGACAAGTACAACAAAAAAAATAGCTGGGCGTTGTGCCGGTACCTGTAGTCCCAGGTACTCAGGAGGCTGAGGCAAGAGACTTGCTTAAGCCCAAGAGTTTGAGTTGTGATGGTTGAGTTTGAGGTTGTGAGCTGTCACAGCACTCTACCGAGGGCGACATA